GTGAGTGAGAACCCGCTCATATCACAAATTTGGTGAATCTCACGCTGGCCTTGGGCGCCCAGCAGGTTCATCATCTTCCACACTGGCCCTTCCCATCTGAAAATCTCTTATACCATTTAAACACATGTGCACTAGACAAAGTTTCATCTACATAACTTCGGTTACTATTTGAAATGTTTTCGTGGCTGATTTCTTAAGTTTCACAAGAAACTTGATGTTGATTCGACATATTTCCGGCAAATTTCAGTTGCACTTGTTCACTCAATAATGCAGTACTCAACTAGCGGGATCGATTAGGGCGAAACTTGCCACATGGACAGAGAAGGTGCGTGGGATGACGTCACCGAAACAGTTGTTGCCAACTCCACTCTTTCTTTCAAGATACACACTTAGTATCGGGTGTTTTTTTTTTTTCTGTTTCACGCCTTGTATATGAAGGAAAGTGAAAAATACATTCTGAGAGATTAAGTTGTGTAGTAAATAAATTAAAGGAATTATAATTTTTGCTATCTTTTTTAAGACTTAGATGACATTTTACTATCATATAGCTCCACCAAAAAGAAAGAAATCATCATAATTCTTTTTTGAAATATTTTTTTACAAACACCACCTTCTGACATGTATTTATGCTGTTACTAAAAAAATTGCTAGTGATATTTTATCTTTAAATTTTCAAATCTTATTGAAATATTTATACAAGGCTATGTGTTTGTTAACTTTCAATTTTTGAAATCGCAATTTTAAAAACGGCCAATTTACAAAATTCATGACGGTCATGTTATAAATGTTATCATGAGTTTTCCATTGAATTCGAAGCTGATATTTGACATGTACTAGTCATTGTACTTGTAAAATCCAGATACAATTTCAAACTTGATAATTGGGTCAAGATATCCAAGTATTAAAGTCCTTCAAAAAGTTTTTCAAAGTAATAAAAAAATTCTTCTATTATAAGGGTACTTTTAAGGTTTCCGACTACGTTCGGAACCGTGATTTTTAAAAAACACATAAATGGATAATTTTCATGATATTTAGTGTCACTTGGATTAAAATATATACGTAAAATTGTTCTAAAGACATTTTGACAAAAAAAAATAATTTAAGTACAATATTTTAGCAAAAAATTTACTTAGAATAACCTTTTTTCAAAATGTTCTCCTTTGTGAAAAATGCTTCTATTATAATAATATGTTGCCTGTATATCGCTCAGACCTCTGTACAGAGGCTGAACTACGTTTTTTGAAACATTCACATTATTTTCAGAGTTACAGCCAATTGAAATAATTATCGGCGTTTTTCTTAAATTTTCTCTCCTCTGTTGACGGAAAACATGGATAAAACCACTTCTAAGTTATATATTTCAAAAATTCTACTTGAGTCTCTGTACAGAGGTCTGAGCTATATACAGGCAAAATATTATTATAATAGAAGCATTTTTCACAAAAGGAGAATATTTTGAAAATAGGTCATTCTATTTTCATTTTTTGTCAAAATATTGTTCTTAAATAATTTTTTATTGTAATACTATTCTTAAAACAATTTTATATACATTTTCTAGTCTAAGTGACATTAAATATCATAAATATTATCCATTTATACGGTTTTGCAAAATCACGGTTCCGTACTTAGTCGGATACCTTAATTCAAGTGCATTTTTTTTACCTATGTGCGTTGTTGTTGACAAATATATGCTTTTAAATGAAAGTTCGTGTAAAAACCAAAAGTTAACAACAGTGGAGAGCAGGAACTGATTGACCAGAAAAACGTGACTGCAATGATCATGTAAATGTGACGTCATATTAAGGCTGTCTTCGGCTGTTAAAGAATAGGACTCAAATTCGGAGTATTTTTTCAGATATAAAAAAGTACCTTAACATTAATATTATATTCTGGCTTCGCTATCCTGTAGAGAATCACTATTTTTATCAGAGTTTTGATACATTTATTCTTTTATAAAATATGCTTCGCATTTTTTTCTCCCATACCATAATGCTAAATGAGCTATCCCTTTACATGTTAAAAGGAAAAACTAATTATTTATAAAATATTTTGAAATTTTAAAAACACACAAGATTATAAAGAAATGCATGAGTTAACAATGTCAAAAATTTTTATAAAAATTGAGGCATTTCTTCTGTCTGAAAATGTGCTCCGCGTTAAGTTCATGATCTCGTACATATGGTGAAAACAACCTAAATTTAACCCATTAAATTCGAAAAACACTAAATATTCTTCGGAAATTCTCTTTGTAAGAGGTAATTAATACCAGTCAATACAAAAATGAGTATAAACCACAATTATAGAGAAGAGTACTAAGTACAATCAAACAATAAACAGAGAATATTACATCTAAATTATGGTACTTAAAAAAATAAAACTGATCGTGTGTGTGTGTGAAATGTAGTTCCTAGTGTGACGAAATGTGGGGATTGCTGAACAGTTAGTACGCAATCAGCGCGCATTTATTTATTTATTATTTTATTATTATTATTTGTCTGAGTTGAGTTTGGTGTTTTATGGCGCAAGAGCCAGTTTTGGCTATACTGCGCCAAACATTCATAGATCTGTGGTCTGGACGGGAAAAGAAGAAATTGGATGACAAGATAGAGGGTCGAAAATAGAGAAGGATCACTGGGGTACCCCGGGGTCGTGACACCCGTGTTTACTAAAGATAGTAAACCCCTTGAAAAAAGGAAAAGATCACTAGGGTACCTCGGGATTGTGACACCCGTACCCACCTAAAGAAGGTGAGCCCCCTAAGGGGATTATTTGTCTGAGAATTCCTTATAGAGTTCAATACCACGTTATCGTTATTCCACGCACTAAAACTGAAATTTAGACTGCGGATAGACGATTTTGGCAGTGGGCGCAATTCAAGACTGCCATTGAAGTGGCATACGCAAAATACTTCTATGGAAAGGGTTTTCATTTTAAAAAAAGACGTAGCCGAAAAAGCGCTGTTACATAATATTCATGCTAAAAATTAAAAATCTTTTGGTGCATGGGTGGGGTTTGAGTACGCCACTGCATCACATGGTAAATGTAATTAAGCGTTTTCAGTTGAATTTAAAACTGAAATTAGGCTTATAATTGTAAAATATAGATACAATTTCAAATTCGATTATTGGGTAAAGATGTCCTAGCATTAAACAAAAAATTCTAAAAAAAAAATACTTCAAAAATAAAGTGTATATACATCTTTTATAATTTATGGGTTCTTTTTTAAATCCAGCTCATTCTGTTTACCTACGTGCGTTATTTTTGTTAAGAAATATTTACTTATTAAAAAAATCCATAAAAAGCAAAAGTTGGCAGTACTGATTGGCGTGGACTGAATGGCTGGAAATACGCGATTTGAATTTATCATGTGACCATGACGTCACATTCATTTAGCCTATTCGTTGTTGCTTTTGTTTGCTTGTTAATTTTGCCTACTTCTAAAATAACTATTTTGAATTTATTTTATTTTATTTAACTTCACCGCCACTGGGGTCCCAACACCTCACAACACAATCAGAGCGGCCTAATTGACGAACTACTCGCCACCTAATTGACCATCCAGCTTCCATCATGCGGATGATTCTCCCCCTCTCAAACTGCGACAGCTGCTCGTATGTCTTCGAAAACGGCGTAATGGCATGTCTACCTCAGCTCTTCCATTGTAAACGATTCAGCACACTCAAACAAGCTTTGGTTACCTGTTTTATACTCCACGGAGAACGACGTTAAACTCCCTCTACCGGCTATACATAATGCGCAATCACGCTGCATTTCCAGTCATTTGCATATCTCCCCGACATGTACCTTCATACCAAGTTTCGTTACGATCCCGCAATTATTTCTTGGTGCACTAATTTTTTTTGTCCATGAGTGTATATCCTGTTCAAATGTTCAATCGTTAATAACATACTTTCTATTCATCCATTCAAAGTAGGAATTGATTTACAAAAAAAAAATTTATATCGCATTTTTAAATAATGCTTCTGGCACTTTAATATATACATTAAGTTTAAAACGCTAAAAATATGTTTAAAGCAAAAAAACTGAAAATCAGTTTTGTAATAAAATTTTTTAAAGGAATCCCCACATATTTTTTAAAGCTAATAATAAATGCTAATTTCATCAAACCAAAAAAAGTAGATTCAATCCAAAAAAGTTATGTGTGGCCATAATATATTCAGTAGATACTGCAATAAAAATTTAACGAAAAGGGCAATTTTTTTAAAACCATTTATTATACATGCTGAAATTTGTGGAATATTTTTTCCTAGATTAAACCAATATTAAATAATGAAGTCTTTAATTTAATTTTCCTTCAATTTTCTTCCTTAACCTTAAAAATTAAATAAAAACTTTCCAAGATACCTCTCGTGATTGAATATTTTAGAAAAATTGAAAGAAAAAAATTTTCTATTAAATAATAGATCCAAAAGCTGTGGTAAAGTGCATTGCATGCCTCAGAGATATTTATTGCTTTGTTGAAAAAGCGATGCTCAAATGAAGTTTAAATTCAAAAACATGAGTAGACAAAAAAAAGTTATTATAGAACGTTACGTAAAGTTAGTAATTGCATTCTCTAGGCCGAAATAAGTCAAAAATACTAGTTTGATTTAAAAATAATCATAAGTTTTTTTTTTAAACTTGACCTCAAAAAAAAAAGTGTGTGTGTACTTATGTACGCACGTAAGAAGTTATACTTCTTCGGCGTAACAAGATTAAAATCTTTCTAAAAATCTTTAGCAGGGCAAGCTGGGCCAAGGACGAAAGGCGGTCACGAGCAGAGTTGAACGATACTAACCTTCAGTCAATCGGACATTCCAAACCTGAGATAATCACGATTTAAATAAATTTAAACACCCCCGCACAGGGACAATAGGACCAATAATATGGGGAGAGGGTCGAAGGCGGGAATGATGTGTCCTGTTATGTATATTTCTAGACAAAGCATTTTCGTATCCGTTCCTACGGAACGCAAAGCAAAGGTTCGCTGACACGGGGGAGGGGGTATAGCTCAGTGGTAGAGCATTCGACTGCAGATCGGGAGGTTCAAATCCGGTTGCCCCCATTTTCAGGGAAGTGAAGAGAAATAATTTTTTTGAGAATTTCAAAGGCGACAATTATCTGTCCCGTTCTGTATATTTCTAGACAAAGCACTTTCGTATACGTTTCTACGGAACACAAAGCAAAGGTTTGCTGACGCGGGTGTATAGCTCAGTGGTAGAGCATTCGACTGCAGATCGAGAGGTCCCCGGTTCACACCCGGGTGCTACCTTCTTCGGGGAAGTGAAGAGAAATATTTTTTGAGAATTCGAAGGCGGGAATGAAATGTTCCATTCTGTATATTTCTAGACAAGGCATTTTCGTATCCGTTCGTACGGAACGCAAAGCAAAGGTTCTCTGAAACGGGGTGTATAGCTCAGTGGTAGACCATTCGACTGCTGATTGGGAGGTCCCCAGTTCAAACCCGGGTGCTCGCTTCTTCAGGGAAGTGAAGAGAAATATTGCGAATTTCGAAGGTGGCAATGACCTGTCCCGTTCTGTATATTTCTAAAGAAAGCATTTTCGTATACGTTCCTACAGAACACAAAGCAAAGGTTCGCTCAAGAGGGTGTATAGCTCAGTGGTAGAGCATTCGACTGCAGATCGAGAGGTCTCCGGTTCGAACCCGGGTGTCCCTTTCTTCAGGGAAGTGAAGAGAAATATTTTTCTGAGAATTTCGAAGCCGGGAATGATTTGTCCCGTTCTGTATATTTCTAGACTAGGGAAATTTCGCATCCATGACAGTGTGCATCACACCCCTGACTTGGGGCGCATTTAAAAAACCCCCCATCCTTTTCTAACACCCCAAAAGAAGTATAACTTAAAAAATTTAACTAATATTAAAGTTTTGTTAAATCAACTCAGGGCCATGTATCAAATTACACATATTTATTATCTTTCCATTTGATAATAAAGAATAAATCCAAAATAAATAAAGGGTGATTAGTAACTTTTACGGCCCACTTCCTAATTCACAAGGGATTCATGTGAGCCCTAATTTTAGAAGAATAAAAAAAAAATTATTGATATCAGCTACTTATTTCCGTCAATCTGTAGACCTCGTGAACAGGGCTTCGAACGGGAACTGAACCGAAGACCGGAAAAAACCGTCATTTGATCAGAATGAAAACCGGAACTCTGAATCGAAGAAATATCGGTTCGATTTTTCTTCATTCATTTTGTTACTGTAACCAACTTATCGAAATTTTCTAATTAAACGGCAACCATGTAATTAGCATCATTACATGTACATTGCTCTTCTCGATTTTCTGTTTTGCTCTTCACTAGTACTTGCTGTTTCAGTTTCACTCAGAAACTACTTGTAGAAAGGCAGATTTAATTCAATTGAATGAACTAGTACCAGATGATTTAAGATAAACAGGGCTAGATACGGGGTATCGGCCGCCCTCGTCTAAACACCTATTGCCACCCCTAGAAGAACTTTTCATATTTTGACTAATACTTAACGTTGATGTTAAAAAAATCATCTGCTGCTATATAGGAATAAAGTAAACACATTATGTATGCTCAAAATAAATTTGAGAGTGCAGAACTTCATTTTTGGCCAGGTAATGAGTTATAATAGCGACAAAAATACTTTAACAAAATAATAAACTGGAATAAACAACCTTTAAATTCGATAACATTTTATAATTATAAATGCAAAACAAAAATTTACTCAAAAATACAATCTAATAAAGCTAGATATACCAAGGCTTCAAATCTCATTGAAACGAAAAGTATATAAATGTCTAAAACTGGGTAATAAACTATACCGTAAAATCCGATTGTATAACGCGCACTTTAACTCAAAATAGGAATCAGTAGGTCAGCGCGATATACGCCGGATAAATGAGCTTTAAAAGTACAAATTAGATGAGCATAGAAAAAGGTAAGACTTTTTACATATATCGAAATACTGTTTCAGTGAAAGAAATATAACATTCATATGAACTCTTAAAAAGGGGTTGTAATTCTGAAAAGTACACTATTTTACTAAAGCGGAATAATATATTCGAATAAAGGACTTCGAGCACTAGATCATTGCATTTTGCATACGTACAGGTTTCTTCGTAAAATGGGTGTGCGTGTTATACAACGAATATGTGTAGAGGGCACGTTATAAGCCAGATTTTACATGCTATAAAATAGCACTGCGGCTTTCTGGGAAGCAATTTGTTAATAGTTTCAGTTAAATCGGACTTTCGGTCTCGGATTCAGGTGAGACTATGGCGAATCGGTATATATCCTAATATGGCCCTTTCTTGTGCCATATTATTTCTCGAAATAATTTTTAATGATTTTTTAATTTACTGAAACTTCTTTCATCAGGCTTCTAGAAACAGGTTAGGTTAAAAAATTCTTGATGCTAGAGCAGAAACTGGGAAAACGGGAATAAGATCATTTTCACTAATTTCCTAATATATCTCAATTGGCTGTTTTTACCAGGAAAAATATATTTGAATGAAGTTATTTCATTAAAGAGCTATATACCGTCTATATCTTATTTTAGATATCTTTTTTTTATTTTTCTCTTGTTCAGCAATAGGTTTTTCTTTTCAAAATTCATCTGAAAGTGGATGTGTACCAGTTGTCTCCTTTAAAAGTCACGTTCTTCCCAAATGTTTTTTGTCTATACATATAAAGCATGTATTTCTAACTGTGTCTCCCTCTTCTAAATCTGGATCGATTTCAGTGGAGGAATCATAAACCTTTGTTACATACTTTCTTCATCTGTTTTGATTCTTCCTCGTGATAATCACGAACCGAATTTCTTTAAGCCGAAACTGCTGTATATACCTCTCTGGTTAAATACTGTATCATATTAAATTACTTAAATGTGCATTTCTTCATCATAACTTCACAATAATACGCCATAGCATAAAAAGGAAAATTTAAAACGTGCACATGCATTCAGAACTGTAACGGCGATTCACGTGATATACCGAAGAAGGCATCCAAGAAATATATATATTTAGGAATTACGCCTACAACTAAGGCCCCTCAAAGAATATGACCTTGAAATCGGCTACACGAGAAACTATCAATTTTCCAAAAAAGGTTTACAGAAGAACGTTGAAAAAGGTAGACAGTGGGTATGACATAACCTGAGCGAGAAGTGCCGGGTTAAAAGCTGAGAAGATCTCTGGGCCTGATGCATTCTATATCAGTATGTAATTTAAATATTTTTAAAAGTATCTCTACATTGGAAAGTCAGGCCATTTCTTTTGCAACTTCGATACTTGCACAAAGCCTCAGGTCTTCCGAGGACATTTTCGATTCGAGTCGCCAATTCTTGTTACAGCAGTGTGGAAGGAATTTCTGTGAATGCTTGAAAATAAAGTTATAAATTTTGATTAAAAAATAACTATATTCTTTTTAATCGAATCCTAAATTTTCAAACTTCCTATTTATTATTACCAAACTGTAAATTTTTTCATGAAATATTTAGAAAATTAGAATATTCTATTCTTAACACTTTAATTTTTTCCAAACTATCAAAAAGTACATTTCATCTTTTTTTCAAATTTCTGACTGAATTATATGAAGTACCTGATTTAATACAAACATATTTTGTCTAATTAATTGTTTGTTTAAACGTATTAGTTTAGGCATATAGAACAAAACTTAACTTGGCTTCAGATTATTTATTTAAAATTATTACTAAATATCTCCGCAAAATAAGCTTTCAAAAAATTCTAAGTTTTTAAAAAAACTATTAACACAATCCTCTGAATTTGTAGTTTTCCTTTTAAGTTTCTGAAAGCTAAGTTAATGAAGCATTAATATTATTATTATAATTGTTTGTTTTCAAATATCTTAATACTTTGAGATTAAACAGAACAATAAAAAACATTTCTAGAATAATTTGAAATTTCTATAGATAACTCAAGAAAACTTTGACAGAGGCCCTACAATATTACAAAAACCTAAAATTTTTAACTAAATTTATATCTTGGATTACATTAAAAATACTCAGATTATACGACCTTGCTACTGCTGAATAATTTTTTACATCTCTGTTTTTGTTTAGTAGAAAGAAGTGAAATCGTTTATCTATTTTATAAATTATTGTTTATTATATTTTTGTTTCTGTAATGCATTTGCTATCACTTTAATTAAATAGCTTTATACTACTAGGAGCAACTAAAAAGAATTATTACCTATATTTTTCAACATTTATTATTGTTCTGTAAAATAAAGAAGCTTTCATTAAATGCTTTTATAGAAAATTTCTGCAATAGTTCTGACATTCTTATTGTTGCCTTTTTAATTTTAAATATTGCTGTGGGTATTTAGAACGGAATTTTGGTTAACTTTATTAAAAGCATACAGAATGCTAGGTCTTTAAAATTATGCGATTTTGTAACTTATTTTTATAATTAATTATACGCGGTAGAATTTTTTAGTTTGTATTTCAAATATTCTTTTCAAATTCTCTGGGAAAAAGATTTTTAATCAAAAGGTATCGTGCAAAATCACTCTTAAATAATATAAATACAGGAAACAAGAAAAAGAATTTGTGCTTCTCCAAATTCAATCTTACAAATAATGGTTCTCTTAGCAGTCTTAGAGTATATTACAAAAAGTATGTGTTTATTTCATGTTACGCAGTAAGAACAAAATGTGTGTGTGCATCTTTAAGTAAACTTAACATACTTTATTTCTTTGAAAATTCTTTTCTGGTTGGAAACAATTTAAATTAAATATTTAGAAATTATAGATTTTTTTCATTTTATTATTAAACAAAATTATCGTATACGTTATGATTACAAAATCATCAAAATAAATATAACTATGTTTCCTTTCAATTTCGCACTTTTGTTGGATCCTTTTAAGAGCATAGTAAATAATTGTGAATGTACTCAAAGGTTCATTAGTGTTTTGTATTTTAAATGAACTACTACCGTTTTCATAAGTGACTAAAGAAATTGACATACGAGGGTAATAATATTCAACTTAAATTTTGAATAACAATGCCAATTAATGTTTTTTGAAGATTTGTTTGCATTCAGCTTCTGAAAC